AATTTATCGATAAACAAACTTTAAAATTTATTATCATTTTTTAAAAAAAACTATAACTATCTAAATTAATAAAACATTCGGCAAAGACTTATTACAAAAGAAACAAAAAATTATATTTTAAAATAATGTTATTTTTCAAAAAAGAAGAAATTAAGAAATCTTTTATACCTAACATTTTAATAAATATTTTTTTCCACCTTTATAAATATAATAATGGAAAACTTGAAAAATGATAACATTTACACTTTATATTCGATGCAATATCCTGGATAGTTCAAAATTTTACTGTTAAACATATAAAAATATTAAAATTTAAGGATTAGATTGATTAAATTTTTTAGGGTTTGGGGTAGAATCCTTCCATCACAGTCAGGTCATTTTTACTTGTGATGGACCGTTTTTGGAACTGATTTCATGAGGGAGGGGATGTAGGACCGGTTGCGTCCAAGCGTAATTTTGTTTTCTTCAAATAATATAGGGAAGAGAGGGGATCATGCGAGCTCTAAAAACAACTGTCATAAAATCAAAAGGCTTTATAATCTATATTAATTGATATCCAATTTGGTTCCTCTTACTTACTTTTACATCATATAAAAATTTATTATACTTTTACCCCAATATTATTTTTTCTAAAAAATTCGGGGGAAAGGCTGAGCCATACTCAGAATAGGTTGTTATTCTTGGGACCTTTAAAATTTATAATACTCGCAATATATTATTTATATAATAGTTTATGTAAAAATAATATTCAAAATATTCAATCAAAATTACTAGTCATATTATATATAATAAAAGCAGAATTATGGAACAGAACGTTCCGGGCAAGTTCTGGAAAGGGATATTGGTAAAAATAATAGAATGAAGATGGAAGGAGAAAGATGATTACGATAATATTCTCGGAACAGTTCTTGGATGTTCCGAAAAAATTATTTAATTTATTACATATTGTAAATATAATATTTTTAATATCTCATTCATACATATTTGTTTTTTCTTTAATAGTTTTCGTGTAAATATATTCGAATAAAGGACCCCAAAACATTTTTTTTCCCGCTCTAAACAAAAAAATATATATTTCGTTCTAACGCGATCTCTTCCACGTTTCAGAACGTTCCAGAACGCTTATTCCATTTATACAATTTTGCATATAACAGTCATTAAATCTAAGTATTAATTAAGACATTTTTTAAAAGATTATTATTCATAATTGGTCAGTTGTATTAATATAAATTTGAATGGCATAAATAATTAAATTAAAATTTTATATCATTTTCGAACGTTCCGGGTTCTTGAAATCTCGTTCCGGTTTGGACAGCTTTCCATAATTTTAAATTCCCTTTCTATAGAATTCTGTTCCATATCTTTGATTTTAAATCGGCGCCCGGTATGAGTTTTAAAAATCTAATCGGCGGCCAGCGGCGCGCCGATTTTTAGTCGCCGTCAACCTAGGCAGCGTAAATGGGTGCACCTTTTATAAATTATTTAACATTTTTTTTAAATTGCTAATTAATTTTTTTAAGAAAAATTAAATTAAAAATATCTCGGCATATTTTAAATTTTTTTTATTTTTTTAATTTTTTGTATTTCTTTAATTATTATGTATAAAAATAATTTTATTTAAATCCGAACATAATGATGATCTGCCTGAATTTAACATCAACCTAGCAATTGAGAAAACTCTTTCACTAAGTGTTCTAGTTGTCCGAACACAAAGAAATTTTTTTTGCTAGTGTGAAAAAAATTAAGAAGTTCTCCTTTTCCCTCCAAAAATTGAAAACATCCATAACTTGTGAATGACATTTTCCGAGAAGAATATTAAATTCTAATTCTAAATCACTTGGAATCATAATTTTTACTTGTTGAATGTTTAGTTGCAAATTTTGTCAAATAATTGAATTTAATATCAGCTTTATATTCTCAATCACTATATTTACTACCCAAATATCATCCAAATCCCTCTGCTTAGTAATTGTGTTTTATTATATACTTTGGCACAATTTTTAATTTTTAAAATCTTAGATTTAAAAGTGAAGCCATGATATAGATTATTTTTGAAATAAAAAATTAATTAAATAAACTTGTATATCATAAACCGAAAATCGTAACGCAATTTTTCTACCATATTTTTCTTTAGAGAAATGTTTTCTAAACTATCGATTTACTATTAAATTTGTTTCAATTTTACTTTTAAAAAGTGATGTCAAATATAAGATGGGTCTTTTTGTGTAGAAATTCAACTGTTTCTTTAAATTTGAAAGAAAAGCTCTTAGTTCTTCGATTAGATCTGATTTATAGTTAGAGATAGTGGTTCCCAATTCTTTTCAAAACGTTATTAATTAAATTTTTATTTGCTCCAGATATTCATGCCTAATTATTATGTTGGGCTTAACATTTTTACATGTGTGGCCTTATCAGTGACTTTAACCTATTATTAGAATATGTATAGAATATTGAATAATTTTTAAAATAATTTTGCGCCGGCTATGCACTCCGATATGAAAATGGCGTTATTTTTATAAACAACGGTGTTTTCGGGCGTGGCCAGAAATATCGGCTGCTGGCCAACGGCTTTCGACACAAGTTATATTATTATATATAACCCATTTAGTATTCAAGATAATTTTAATCAAATTTAAAATAATTTAATATAAAATTAATACAATGCGATAAAGATTATAAATTTAAATTATAATCTTGTTTTAAATTTATTAACACCACCGCTTATTTACAAGTAATTATTTTCATGAATATTGTTAATATAAATGAATATAGTTTGTAGGTAAAAATGAAATTAGATATTTTTTCAGGAACGCGTTCCGAAATGTTAAAAACGTGGAAACGGAAGCTATTCTTTTCTTCCAAAACGGAAACAGGAGCGCAAAAATTTTGGTTACCTGAAAATTTTTGGATAAGTTATGCCTTTGAAGACCAGTTCCAGACTTATCTCTAGAAATTATTTTAAGGTATAAATATATTTCTTTGTTTAAAAAAAACATACCTTTACATAGAATGGGGTTTAAGCTTTTATATAAGATAGTTATTAGATGATTAAAATCTTTGTCATTTTATATTTTTGAAAGATTGCAGCATTTAAAAAAAGCTCTATTGTTTATGACATAAAAGAACAATTCACAATGAAGAAAAACTAGAGTGAAATAAAAAAAATAAAAGTTGTTAATTCATAAATTGGATAAGGAGTTATATATTTTTTTAATCCTCAACTTTTAAAATATATTTAAAAACTGATAACATCAAGTATTTTTAGTTTCTTTGATGATATTTCAGATTATGTTTCATAATCACAATATAGCTATATTTTTAGATCCGCAATATCAGACCTCTATTTAAAGAGATTCCCTCTTTAAAACGTCTTTATATACAATATAATACCTTTATCCCATTCAGTTCTCCTGTTGAAAGACTATTTAGTTTAGCGAAGAGTGTTTTTAGTGAAAAGTGATATTCGTTATAGATGAAAAATTTTAGAGACATCTTTTCTTAAAAGCTAATAAAAAATTGATTGATTAAAATGATATATATATTTAATTTTATTATGGAAATCCTTTATTTTATAAAGAATAGATATTTATATTTCAAATTTTAATAAATCTTTCATTTATTTTAAAAAAATATATATAATTGGATTGCAATATTTTATTTATTAATTCTTAAGAAAGAAATCATAAACATAATTTTTTAATTAGTTGATGGAGTAGCTTTGCTATATTTAAGAAATAGTAGCTATAACGAGCTATTTTTTTGATAAGGTTTCAAGTAGCTAAATATATTGCTAGCTACTTTTTAAAATTAGTATTAATAGCAATGGTAATGAATAAATATGATATTAAATTCTTTGCATAATATTCAAACATCATTCGTTCAGATTAATATTAATATAAATATCCAATAATATATTATATTAGTATGTGAATATTTTATTCAAATAAATATAATGTTTAATAAAATTGGAGCACTCGAGAATCTTCCTTGCACCTTCTCAAAAATATAATAAAGAAATTTTATAAGATTTAAACTTATTGTATTATAGTTGTCAACTGAAAAAATTAAAATGATATTCAGATATTGTAGCATGGACTTTATATAATTCTTTATTGTAATCAAAGCCATTTGTACAAATTATATTAATCATCTATATCCGATAACAACATTATAATAATACCTAAACATCCTCATCCCATTCCATAATCCTCAGCACAGCAATCATTTTGGAACTTTCCTCCATCTCGAAAACCATATGATGTAAATTGATTATTCTTGCTGTGTTAATTCCAATGTTTGGTAACTAATCACTACATATATATTTAAGAATTTTTTAAAGTATGGCAAGAGGAAAGGAATGGCTAATTCTCTCCATTTCCCACTATCATTCAATTTGGAAAACATCTAGTCTGGAAATATTTTAATAGCTTCTATAATATTATAAATAAAAATTATCTACACAAATTTACATCTTTTAATTTATATTAGAATTAGTAGAGAATGAAAACTTATTTATAAATAAGTTAACAATGTCTCAATTATATGCAGGGATTACGAATATCAGTTCTGGCTTAGGTTCTAATAAAAATAATCGTTTATGGTTCAGTTTGATTTATATAATAATAATCGTGGTTTGATGTATACCTTTACCGGCTCAAACGCTTTGGATCGAGAAGAATGTTTTAATTATTTTTTATCACTAAGATCAAAATTATGTATAATTTATATATAACCAGTATTTATCATAAATTTAAAACATTTATGATTACCAAAGTATTTAGCAGTTGATTCAACATTGCTTTGATTCCCTGCTTTTTTTTCTATTATGAATTCATTTTATAAATATATGCATGTTACAGTAAAAAGCTTGTGCAGTAACTCTGTAAGTGCCGGTAATAAATACGTTTTCATGAAGTATGACCAAAACTTTATTTTATAATAGAGCAATTTTTAGTAACGAGTTTGTTTATTTTTTGTAGTCTATTCTACATATGGTTTAACTTTTATTCATACATACATTGATAATGAAGGAATTCGCTTTGCATTTTTGGGTATAGTTTTCTTTTAAATAATAATAAAATGATTACAACAATATTATTTATGCTATTTTATTTTATATTTATCTAACTTACTAAATATAGGGTGAAAAAAATGACGGGTTTGATGTTCTTTATCAAAATTACAAAACTAATATTCAGACCTCAAAAGAATTATCTCATCTATTTGAAGAAAGGCTTGTAGAATTTTTAATATTAAAAAAACTAATTTTTTTTAATAGGTGTGTTTTAGAAGAATATTGCTATAAATCTTTTTTAAAACTTGCAAAAACAACCTCAGGGCATTATCTTAATAATTCTTACAGGTAGATCAAATATCTATTAATTTATCCTACTTCCTATTAAGTTAATGAATTTTTATAATTTTACATTATTCTCCATTAAATCAACAATTATGTCTAAATGAAAATATTTTTTTAGTTTGAAATATCAAAAAAAAAGGCATCTTGGCCATATGCTCAATTTAATTATAATATATCTGCAATTCATTTTGTTTACAATATTAAAATTTAGTATAAGAAGATAAAATTGGCAATTTCTTTAAGTAGCAACTGTTTTAAATAAACTTAATTTAAATTTATAATTTTAGGCCCAAAAAATAATTTTCAAAAACCCAACCCAGACCCACTTGAAAATTTGATATTAGGCCATGCCTGGGCCATGGGCTGGTCTGACCCATAAAAGGTCTCTAATTTAGATATAATATAATTTTGTTTTAAATTTTACCAATTAAACTTAAAATTAACTTTGCTTATTTGATTAATATTTTATTATTAACAATTGATTTAAGGAGAGTATTGAACCTTTTTGATGTATAGGTTTGGTTCAGGTTCCAGAATTTTTTTATAAAAGTTTAAATTTGGTTCAGGCTAAAGAATTTATAAAGATTTAGGTTCGGTTTAGGTTCTAAAACCTTTATATAAAGGTTCATAGAGGTTAATTAATTATTTATGCTAGATACCAATATATTAAATTTTATGAATAATTTAATCTCATTTTGTGATAAATATATAGGAATAAGAAAAATAAAACATTCTTTAGGCTAACCTAAAATTTTATTTACAATTTTTATTTGGATATAAAATTATCATCTAATATATATATTTGTCCAATCTTGTTTGATGATAGAATATATTTTAATCATAAAAATGTTCATTCAATCTAAACCTATATAGCTGCAACAGACATGTCATGTTAAGAGATGGACTTTGAGTTTTTAAATTTTCTTCCATATCATTATGCAAAAAATCAATGTTTTTATTCTATTTGATGCAGTTAAAAAAATTTTTATATTGTTTGGCATATTTTGATTTTTGTTATTTTCCTTTTTAATAAAAATTTAAAATCATCTTCATGGTCAGGATAATTATCTTGACTTGACCTAGTGGTAGGGAGTGAATTATATATCATACCATCACTGTGTCTTAATTACATATCAAGTTTGTATAAAATGTTTTCTAGCCCTGTTATTTTGTCATCTTACGATAATATATAATATCAAGGATCAAGATATAGATTAGATACACACAAATGCATCTTTATTTTAGTTTTTTTCTCTAATGTTTTTATGGAAGAAATTATAAAATCGACAAAGGCATTATTCAGTTTCTTTATTCCATTTGTGCATTTTACGATAGATAAATAGAAACCACCTTATATGCATCTTTTTTTAAAAAATGATTGCAATACTTTTTATTTTATAATGCTAAATTATCAACAATATAATGTATAGTAAATAATATTTAAAAAATTTACCCCATACATAATTAATATATAATAATTTAATAAAATATATTTTTATAAAATAATGCCTAGAGGTTAATATGCTTAAGACTAAGAGATAGGATGATAGAAAAGAATTATATAATTTTTTAAATTACATTAATTAATAATTATAAAATAACTTTATATTAACTTATTTACACTGGTTTATATAGTTCATAAAGGTTTTTAAAGGTTCAGTTCAGGTTCATTAAAAATATCAAATTATATAGGTTCAGTTTGACTCTGGATTTAATCCTTAGAAAAAAAAGGTTAATTGAAAGATATTTTTCATAATATATTTTAACCATAAAAAATTAACTTATTATAAATTTTCTAGTTCTTTTAGTCCCATTTGGCATATTCTTCAAGAATCTATGGAAAAAATTTCCAATATGAATTTGGTTTTTTTACATTCATTACAAGAAGCTGTAAAAGATATTCATAAATACACAGATGAGCAAAACAAACAATACAAATATGTATGTCCCAATATATTTTTTTAGAAGTTTAAAAAATATATATTAGGTCAAAGATGAAGAATCGTCAACCTCTAAATCAATTGAAGCATTTGTCACTGTTAAAAACAATGTCATTAAGGTATTTATTTATCAAACATTGTTCTTATTATTATGTAAATATATATATGGACTTATCTAATAAAAAAATCTATTTATTTATCGTCACAAATCATGTTCTGAGGCATTTCTTGAAAATTAGTGATTCAAATTGTACCGAATATTATGGGTTTAATTTTTTTTGCATGCAAACTTCAGATAGCCAAATACATTAGTTAAAATGTTATCTTTAAAAATTATATATGAAGCATATAACATTTATTTTATTATTTAAGTTATATTTAAAGCCAGATATATATATAGTATATTATAACAAATATGAGTATTTATTAAATAATTAACTTTAATATAAATAATAATAAATTATTTTTCCAAAAGAAATACTATTAACTAGGATTAGGTAATAAAAATCAATTAGATTAAAAATTTAAATCACCCCAATTCTTACAGTGGTTTAAATCAATGTTTTTAATATAATTTTATTTGTTAAATTTGATCAAAATACTTTATAGAATGAAAGACAAAGATTTAGATTATTCCAAAATTAAATTTTTTTAAATCTAAAATACCAAATTGTTTTGATTTTCATTATTACAATTTTTGACATAATGTTAGTGCGTTTTTTTAAATCTAAGTTTAAATTAGAAGACCTGAACTAGTATTAAACTTCACATTTCATTTTTTTTATTTTAATGTAATTCTCTGTTTTCTTTAATTGAAAAAATAATCATTTAAATAAAATTAAAAAATAACAATCATAGGCATTATCCATGACCTCGGTATTGATATTTCATTTAATTTTTTAAAAGAAAACTAATTTTCCCAGTTTCCTAAGTTTGGAATGCACTTCAAATGATAAAAATTCTCTTTCTACCTCTTGATGTAAATAAATGTTTTATCATAATTTTATCCTAAATTATATGATCTTGATAAGCACTATTCAATTTTTTTAAATTTTATTTTATTGTAGAACATGATTTTATTGAACAGGTCAGATGGGGCTTAGGATTTTACCATGATAGCTAAGAAATTGGTATTGAAATGTAAAATTAACTATATCCATTGTTTAGTCTTGTTGGCTTTTGAGTAGAAAAATATTTCTTTAGAAGATTGGATAAGAAAATTTGATATTCATATATAACGAAAAATGAGTTACGAATTATAAAACTAACAAAAAGCTCTATAAAAACTGACAAAATTAAGAAGAAACTACCCAAAAATTAAGAAGACTACAATTAATATTATTGATAAGATTTACGATTAAATTTCAAAATAAACAATATAAAGATGAACTTAGATAAAAAAAAACTAATTCTTAATAATGAGGGATTTTCAATAATATTTAAAAAAAAATTATTATAAATTCACAAAAATAAAATAATTATTCAAAATTTTATCAAAATTTTCCCAAAATCGAATAATGATTTTTTATAAAAAAAACGAGAAAAAATTTTTATCAAAAATTGATTGATATTCTATAAATCTATATATTTATCGATATAAAAATAAGACAACGATGACAATATACTTTAAGGATGATGGGTTAACAAATACGATTATAAACTAATCTATATATAATATAATCCTTTTTATCAATTTTGTCAAATAACCATATAAATATAAAATTTATTAAGTTGCTTATTTGATTTGTGTAATAACAAAGTATATTTAGTTCATATTTGTAGTATTTTCTACAGATATTTTTGTATTACCGTTAACATATATTAGTAGTAGCCAAATAATATATTTCTTTAATTGTATTTTATCATACAATCCCATTATTTTTGTGTATACAAATTCACAAGATAATGCCAAAATAATAAAATAAACAATTTAATACATAACAATTACTTTAGCAATTTTAAATTGGGCTGATGCATCACCCAGTTTAGAAATAACATTAGTTAAAATTAAAAAATAAAAATACCACCATTTTTATTGGTAAAAAAAAATTGCTTTTTAAATTTGGTTTAATAGTTTTATATTTTCACATTATAAAGTATAGAATCATTTTCGTTCCCACTAACTATTATCGACGTTAGATTTATTTTGAAAACAAATAGAGATCATAGAATTTTTGTCTTATTTGACAAAATATCAAATTAGCTATAGCTTATCAATATATATTTAATATTTTTCAATCAATCATTTCTTTTCTAATTTAAATACTTAAATTAAAATTATTGCTAACCCTCTATTGACGCCATACAATTGAAATATTTTTAAGATTGTCTTGTATCAAATATATCTTTAAGGGAAAGTTAAAATTGAGAACACTTCTGTATGCTTATTTGACCACCGTCAAATAGCTAAATATAAATCTAAAATGGTGACTGATGTTTATAGTGAAAATATCAAAAGCTTCAAGCCGGTTTATATATCTGTTTAAAGGTTCGTTTGGTAAAATATTTGTTTGTTTAGGTTTGGTTTGGTTTAATTTTAGAAAATAGTAACTGTTCTGGTTCGGTTTGGATCCCTGTGAAATACACATCTTCTGGTTATTTTTTTTATTAGCTAGATATAATTTATTCCACGTAACAGAGATCAATAGAAAAAATATCTAGGGATGATAGCCAATCTAAATCACTTGATTAAATTTGTTGAAACATTTTGAGATATAAATAGGGTGCCATTCATTGTAGAATCAAGGAAAGAAAATCATTTGGGCGTGAACTCACTTCAGGTAGGACAATATTATTTTCTAAAGGGTATGTATCTCGGCAGAATACAAAATAGTATTTTGTAAAACACTCAATTTAGTGTTTTGGTTCGAAATGCAGAGAAATCTCGAGGTGATATAATACAATTTATTATAGGATATTCATACCAAGAGGTGGCCACCTTTGAGTGTTTATTATAAATGAGGGTCATCTTGCTATCTTAAAATAAAATCTTGTTTAGGTTTAATTGGAATGGATCTTTTATATATATTTTTTTTAAAAATATATCTTTTACCACGGAAATCCGATTATTTTTGTTTTGAACTATAAAATAAAGTGCTGCTAAGACATAGCCTACTAAATTCAAATCGTAAAAATATTTTTTATTTTCAAGATTCAAGACTTGTATCATCAAAAATTTCTGGAAGCCCAAAAATCGCATCCCGAAAGCGACAACATATCCACTAAAGAAAGGGAAAAGGTCATTTTTAATTCTGTTAAATCATTTTCCCACTCTTTTATTAATTTGATAAATATTATTTAATTCATTTTTTATATATTTAATTTTAGATAGAAGCGAAAATGGATAAGCTAAGTAAATAAAAATCATTTGATTTTGTTGCACTTTATTCCCCCCCCCCTCCTTTTTTAGTGAGGGTCACCTGGTACCAAATCAGGGTTAAAACGTATCTGGTCTTTGCAATCTTGGGCTGATATTTTTATACCATTCTGGTATATGACCTTCACTATCTCCTCTCTTCCATCCTATACCGCTCTACGTTTACTTTTTTTCCCATATTATAACTAAATTTTTTTATTATTATTTTGCAGAAGAAGAATACAAAAATAGTATCAATAAATACAATGGGTCATGTGACGCCTACATTAAAAATATGCTAATATCTTGCCAAGTAATTAGAGAACTTTATGTGACATTGTTTGCAAGAAAGGAAAAAAAAATATAAGTTTTTTTTAATATTTTTAATATTATTTTATATTTAAATAGTTCTATCATAATTTCAAAAAAAAATTCTTTTCTTTCTTCAGAAATTTCAGGATTACGAAGTTTATCATCTGACGAAAATGAAATCCTTCGTTACGAATTACGCCGATATTCTCTTCAACACGTCCGCCTCTATGTCGCAAGTTAGTTACTATTTTTTCATGAATAAATGCAAATTTAAACCGTCACCCCAAACCTGACTATCTTTATTCGCTCGGAAACTTATCTACCATCAAAAGATATTCGCAAAAACCTTTTTTTAGTGTGAACAAATCAGTACCCAACGTTTTTCGCCTTTTGATTTTAGGCCTTCAGAAATCTTATAATTTATGTGTTTCACCTTTATTTAGCTTTTCTTTTTTATTATAAATACCTCGGGAAAAGTCTGATCTATCTGACAATTTAATTAATATCCAGCTTGACCGACTGAGTCTCATACAAGACTCATCTTGTCATTACATAGAGAACTTAAATTCGTTATTTATTGCTCTTTAATCAAAAAAAATGAGATGGTGAACGATTTGAAAACGGCGCTCGACCAAACTGCAATCGAAAATATGATCGAATTATTCGTGACTAAAAAACAAACAGGCACGCAGTTACCTAGTAAAAAAAATTAATATTCTGCTTTTGATAATATTGTGCCTGCCAAACTAAAACTATTTCTCTCTCTGGCGGGTAAAGCATTTCGTAATTGAAGATTATTATTCTGAAATTTTCATTAATTTACCTCAGAACCTGCAGAGGTTAAAATTTTAATCAGATTTCAAATATTTACAAACCCAGCTTAGATTTTTTTAAAAAAATTTTAATTTACAAACCGGATCTGGCCCAGATTTGTTAAAATTATTTTTGGCTCATCCAGGATTTTAAGAATTCATTTTGTAGATAGAAAAGGAAATTGAAATAGCAGTAGATCCATTATATTATTTTCCAATTTATTAATTACGTTATTTTTAAATAAACCCACCCCGTTTTATTAAAAAAAAATACCTGCCTGGACCTTGTTTATAATTTTTAAGCTCAGATAAGTTTTTTAAATGATACCATTTTATGGGCCGGGTTCTGGGCCACTTCTGAAGGTCTCAGATATATTTTATAGAGAACCATATCAAGGTAACTATATTTTATCGAATACATTAACTGATCAGTACTTACCATATTTGTAAATTTTTCTTTTAAATCTTAATATTCAATATATACTAAGAACATTACGAACCTAGTTTGGATATAGCTAACTCAGTTATATTCAATAACAACAATGATAAAATAATATCTCCCAGCAGTAACAGCAATGCTTCTAACAATAGCAAAAATCTTCCAGCCTCCATGTCTTCCCAAACTTCCACTTCGTTCCTCAGGGAAGGTATATTTATTTTATTTTTATTCAAAAAATAGAAATATTGCTTAAGTTTTTAGGGAAACTAAATATCTTAATTTTATTGTTAATTAAATTAATTTACAGTTAAACCTCCATAAGGAGTGACCACATGAGTGATATCCGTTGATCAACACAGAGGTGGTTAATATATATCAGAGACCTGCAGGCCCGGCCCTAAACCCGGGCCGGGCCGTATTTTAAATTTTTTAAATATATCCAGGCTGGTCCGGGCCTAAGATTGTTAAACCCGGGCCGGGCCTTAATATTTTTTATAAAAATTTTTACATTATGAGTTAATGGTTATAAGATTATATTATACTATAGTTATGATTAATATAATATTGGGTGATGGTTAACACTACCTAACACCCACAGATCGATCTTATTATTAATTTCCTGCAAATTTATTCAAAGTATTAATATATTTTTTTATAATTCATATCTAAATTTTTAGAATATTTTTTACCAAAACAATCAAATAAAGGAATATCACTTCTTGAAATTTGTAATACCTTTCAAAGCGAAAAAGGAGAAATAAAATTGATTTTACTTAATATAAAGCATTTTTTAATTGAAAAATTTGTTTTACACAAGTATCATTTTATTTCTCTTTTTCTCTGTCCCAAATTTAAGCAATTACGTATGTAGTCAGGGACAGATGGCAAGATGGAAAACTATATAAAAGATTATATTAAATTACAAGAGGCTCAAGAAGTAAATGAAATACCATCGACCAGTCAAATTACGACTGTTGTTAAACAAACTGAATCGTTTTATGACAAATGGGGCGATGGTAATTCTGGTAATATGTCAATACCCGATGATGAATATTATAATTACATAAATAAAAAAATAGATGAAACATTTAAGGTGGATAATTTGTTAGAATGGTGGGCGGCTCATCAAAGCGAATTTCCAATTTTAGCAAAATTGGCAATTCCTGCTTCAAGTGCAAGCTGTGAGCGGAATTTTTCCACTACTGGGAGAATTCTTGAAGAAAGAAGAAGTAATCTTCAACCTGAAAAGGTAGATATGCTTCTCTTTCTTCGTGATAATTTGTGAATTTTTAATATCTTTCTTGAGTATAGGGTTTCGTCAATCATGCTGGTTTTTTACTTTGCAAACTGTAAAATTCTTATTGCATTTATTATATTTACCTTGAGTCATGAAAGTTTTTAATCCAACATTTTTCATTATTTTTTTTTACAATATTCTATAATACAATTATCTTCTTTTGTTAAAAATTTATATTATAAAATAAATTATATTAATATTGTGCAATTAGATTATATTTTCAAAATACTTATTATTATACATGCATTTTTTTAAATAGCGATTTATTTTTATTTTATAAATTAAATAGTAAATTAAATACAATATATTATATTCTCAAAATATTTTCAATTTTTATAAATTAAATATTAGTTTTATTTTTTTAAATGCAATATAAAATATAGTATATGCTCAAAATATTATTATCATTTTTATGAATATTAGTTTTATTTTTATAAATGCAATATAAAATATAGTATATGCTCAAAATATCCATTTTTATAAATAACAGTTTTATAATTTTTATAAATTCAATATAATATTCTCAAAATATTAGCTTTTTACATGTATTTTTTAAATAATAAGCGATAATACTCGCTGAAAAATATGGTAAAATACCTCATAGATGAATTTTTGTATATACCAGGTCGAATATAATTTTAAAAAATTCCGAGCCCTGAAATTTTTAAATCCAGGCCGGGTCGGGCCGTAAAAAATTTTTTAAAAAATATCCGGGCCGGGCCGTAAAAAATTTTTTTTTAAATATCCGGGCCGGGCCTAAAAAATTTAAAGCCGGGCCGGGCCGTGCAAATGGTACCTCTGCAGGTCTCTGATATATATAATATTTTATAAACCTTTTTTAACATTAATAAGTTGTCAGGGACGCTACCTAATTAAAGAACTCGGGATAAGCTAATAGTAATTGTCGGGAGTTTTACTAAACAAACTAATTACTTTTAAAATTCTAATCTGAATTTATACAAATTCTTGATTAATTTCAAAATGGCAGCGTCTAATTGTAATTACAGTAAGACGATGTTAATCAGCCACATATATTCGAAGACTCATTTCAATTAGACTTCATATTGTTATGTTCATTTATTTTCTATGAATCATTTCTTATCATACTTATTAAGCCAAAATTTCACCTTTTGTGTCTTTTAATATTATTGGACAATTTTTAACAAATTTTTTAAAGTCTAATTTTAATCTTTTAAAAAATCACTTTTTTTATTACGTATTAACGAATATAGGAAGAAATTGATTATCCTTTCTATCTTCACAATAATTTATTTATCTTTAATTCCTCACATTCAGGATTTTTCAGAGCCATCAAAAAAAACCACAAGAAGAAAAGGCTCGATCTAGCTAATTCCACTTTGTCTCAGTCTAATATTTCGCCCTTGAATACGTACATATCACAGATAATATATTATTTATATCAGAGCTGTACCAATTAGAGTTTTAAGTGAATTTTACTATTCTGAACCCGAACCGGAATCGTAAAAATTAACATCTTATGAGCCAGCTCAATGGGACGGCTCAAATATTTATTGTTTTCTTTCTAAAGTAAAAAATGATAGATCCTACTTATACTCTATTCAGAGAAAAAATTCATAGAACTCTATTCGGATTAAAAACTTTAAATTCATCCTGAGTTGAAAATTTTTATACCTCTATATTGACCTAGTATTGGTCTCGTCTCTGATTTATATAGTATTAGAACATACGGAAAGTCACTAAAAAGTTGCTTATAAAATATAAATCTTGCGCATGATTCTTGTATTCACTTTTTTTCTACCCATTTTATTTTAACCTTTTTTTTTCTGCCTTCTGAAAATGGTTTCATTATAAAATATTTTAATGTAAATGATAAGAATTTAATATTCCATGATTCCTACTCTAATATTTATTTTAATTTTATATCACTTTTAATATGACGATTTTTAATTAAATTCATTATCAGTAACGAGTTTCCCACGGATGGTGTCTATGGATATTCCGAATATGTAAGTTAAATTTGATTTTAAGATTATATTTTTACCAAAATTATTTTCTTTTTCCGCTATTTTATTACTCGATTATACCATAAATAGATATATAATCGTCGCTTGATAAATGCCTTGACATTTTTCTTTATTTTTTGCAAATTATTATTATATTACAATGTTCTATATAAACTATCAGAATATAAATATTAAGTTATGTGATTTATTAAAAACGGCTTTTTAAATATTTCTAAATTATCAGATATGGAACATTCAACTAAATAATTTTATAGCCTATTTACCATTAAATCTCCACTTTTCATAGGGTAAAGTTTTTAGAAATACCATATGTAATTTAATATCTAAAATCCATAATCTAAATAATTTTTAAAAAGAATTCTATTTTTTTTTATGGAATATAAATATGAAATACTATAATCCTCGGCTTACCATTTACTATATATAGAATATTACACATCCTATTATTTAACTCAATATCTCATCTTAGAAGGAATGGATATAACATTTTTTATAAAAAAATTAATTATAAAAGTAGGGTATATTGGTATTTTTTTTAAAAATTGAATCTACTCCCTATTCTTAGCCTAGTACTGGTTAATTTTACCTTATACCCTGAATTCAAAAATTAATTATAAGACACTGGTCTATCTTCTCAGGCCGGAATTAAAATAATCTACTCGGGTGTGAGTGGGTCTGCAGGTTTCTGGTATATATAATGATAATACTGAAGCGATTAAAATAATATTTTATTTTTTTGCACCCTTTATAAAAGCCGAACTCTAACACGACTCTCGTCGATAAGGAGGGTTATTCAATCAAACCGACAGAAACGACAAGTTATAAATTATATTTTAAAAAATTTTAATTGCTGCTTGTCATTTTTTTAGTCTGTGGTCGTTAAAATTTTCAAAATTTTGCATCAATCTTTAATTATATTGCCCTTTTTTTAGATAATATTTTTCTACAAATCTAAAATGATGATACAAAGACGATATTTGCATTTTATCATCTGCTTTTTACACCTGACTGTTACAAAATAATTATAAATGGGAATAAATTGTTTTTGGTTTATTTTATTACTTATTCTTTATCAGATTTTTTTCTATCATTTATTATTAGCCTCTTTACTGGGGTTTAAAAATTTAATAGTTGACATCATGGAATGGGCAATGAAGCCCCAGACTTTCTAAATTTGTAATATATATAAGATATTAAATATCTGGTTTCTTTTTTTAATTGAATTACATCACATGATCTATTTTTAAGTTCAAAAATTTAATGCAATTAATATCATTTCTTAAAAAGAATATGTTAACGTTTAATATATTTTGGAAAATTGTTTTTTTTACAACTTTACATCATGAGAAGATTTTTAAATCTGTCACAGTAAATGTGTAGAATATATCTACTTTATTATTTTTAAAAGATTAGGCATGAGCTTTTGAATTACTTTTAATTTATATTTTTTCCACAAATTTTTTATATTAATTATCAGAGTTGTTAAAGGATCTAGATACAAGTATCTAGGTCCTGTATCTAGATATAAAAATGTGGTATCTGTATCTAGATAGATTTTTGATTAAAATATCTGTATCTATATATTATTTTAGACGATGTATCTGTAACTAGATCCATTTAAAAAGTATCTTTTAACAACTCTGTTAATTATAAATGACTCGAATGTTAACAAGATTGTTTACTATTATACAAATATCATATTTTTGAAAAATAAACGCGCTCATTAGATGATTTAAACTATTAAAAAATAACCCTCATCTATTTTTAAATCAAACCTAGTTTCAAATTATTATATACCTTCTTTCAAACTATTATTATATTAATATTAAACTAATCGTGTTTCAACTATTAATTCATATTTATTTTCAGTACAAGTGCTTTAAAAGCAATTTATAATTTTCTTATTTGATAAATTTTTTAGTTCATCTAACTTGTATTAGAGCCCTCCAAGTCAGCCCGCTCTTAAAAAAATTTTTTTTAAATCGGTCTTTATATTTAAAAAAATTTTTAAAAACTAAAGAAAATGATCTTTTCTCTTGTTATATGATGATAATTGGAATTTATCTGTGATAAGGACAAAACCATTAGAGATTTTTGCTTCATTTAACTTCATAAAAATGCTTTTAATTTATATTTTTATTAATATTTTTGAACTGGCTTAACAGAATCAAATTTGCATCCTAACTGGCATCGATGAAATAACAATGTAATTTATATATTGTATATTAATAGCTTTGATGTCAATATTTTTTGATTGTAAAATAAATCATCTCGTATTTATTTTATTGATTAATAATTTATATATAAAGGGGATTTTTTTTTTAAAATAAAGATTCTAAAGCTACAATATCTTCTTCTAGCGACTCGGAAACAGACAATGGTATAGATTTATATTCAGATTTTTTTATTTAAAAATAATATAAATTTTTCATATGAAATACGGATGAGCCTCATTTCTTGGGAGTCTTTTTTGTAAGATCCGTTAATAAATTGTAATATGTAATAATTCTTGTTTTTAAAATTGAATTTTTAAATAACTTTCTCTTTCCTACTTAATTTTGAGATAATATGATTATGTAAAAAATTTAAATTACAAAATAAAAATATTTCTTTTATCGATAGCCAAAGAGAAAGAATGAATGAAAAAAAATAAATAAAGTGGGGCAAATCTTCCTAGGTATGCAATTTACGGAGATGTTAGAGTATTATTGTTATTTTAAATTGTTTTAAAAACATGATTTAAGACGAAGAAGAATCAACTAATAAAATGAGGATAGAGATAAAGCCCGTACAATACATGATGTCCAGTCAGTTATCTCTAGAGGAGCTCAAGAAATCGGTGGATAAATTGGTCATATCACCTCAATTGACGGTTGATTTATATTTTATATGTAGAGCTAGAGAGAGAGAGTAGGCCTATTCAAAAACATGCAAATCATTGTTAAATAATTTATTATTCATATTCCTACGAATAATGAAACATATTATTTATATTCTATTGGTATAATTACGAATAGGAAATGATATAATTCGTGTTCACAAATACGACAAATTTATTGAGTTCGGTTTTGAAAAGGCCTTAGAGATTGTAAAAGAAAGGATTTTTTTTTGAATATCGCGTGTTAAAAGGTATTTCCAAAAAAGTATATTCTGCTCAAATATAATATATTTTAAGACGCGCTTTAATTAGGATGCTGATAGAGACCAACTTATTTAAAGTCTTTTATACTTTTTCAAAAAAAATTTTTTTTAATATTGCAGGGCCAGACATACCGCTCCCGACAATCCAGAATGAAAAACAAGTTTATGAAATTATTTTGTGTTTTTATATTTATAAATCTGCTAAGTATTTACCACGCCTCCCCCATCAAAAAATTAACATAAATATACGGTGTCTGGGCCGAGATCATATTCTCTAATCTATTTCAGAGACCTTCATGGACCTTAATTTTTTGACCAAGCTCGGCCCAGGCCCGCAGTAAAAATTTTTTGGCATATGCCCGGCCCATATCTAATGTTAAAAAAATTCCCAAGTCCGGCCCAAGCCCATGATTAGTTTCAAAAAAAATTCTCAAACCCTACCCAAGCCCATATCCAAAAATTAAAATTTTTTTATTTAATAAAAATAAACAATATTTAGATATATTTAGGCAATCATTTTGTTTACAATACGAAAATTTATTATTATTAGAAGGAAGGACAATATTTTTTTAAATTAGCAACTGTTTTAAATAATCTAAATTTAATAATTTTAGGCCCAAAAGCCCATTAAAAAAATTTTTTAAATCCAGACCCGCTAGAAAATATAATATTAGGCCCATACCCGCATGCGGGCCACGGGTCGGCCCTGCATATGAAGGTCTCTGATCTATTTAGCCATAACTCGGGAAGGATCTTAGTATCTTTACCCGTTCTAACCTAAATAATAATTAAGGTCTATAAAAACTTTCTTATAATGAAAAGGAGTGAATTATTTATATACCAGCTTTGTTTTTAAATTTTAACCATACTTTAAAGATTTCCGTTAGGCAAAAACAATTACTTTAAAATTGCAGTTTGTATTAATAATAATCAGAAATTTTCACTGATGGTTAACTCTTGCAGATTATTTTATTTTATAATTTAAAATAAATTAAACATAGATGAATTAATTTTTTTTAAACTAATATAATGAAAAGGTATTTGACGAGGTGTAAAAGCGAAGATTTGGATATACAAGACCCATCTAGTTTTGTCTCCCCTTCTAAATTTGATGAAAAGTTTATATGCATACATTTATACAAAATTATATTAATTTAATATAAAAAATAAAATATGCAGACATAATATGTTATTTTTATAGCTTAATAAATGAATATATTTACAACACGTTATCTTTAAAACAGAGGATTCGGAACCATAACATAGCTTTTTTATACATATGGTTCTAGTTTTTGGTTTAATTTCCATTTGTTTCACGCAAAAATTTACCAAATCAGATATGGGAGATACGACCAACGTCCCGCGAATTCCACCATGATTCAGCGATATTTTGACGAACAAACGTTGCACGAAAATCCATCCAGTATATTTTATATTTTATTTGTTCGGTTATAATTATCTTGTCGGTCATTTTTATTATTTTATAAGTTAGACTAGTTTGATGAGAGATTACTTTTGTTATTATGGCATATGATATATTTGAATATACTTTCCATGTTTCAACTCACATGATGAAATGATTGACGCAGGCTTTTCTACCACGAGGGTGGGTTTATGACACAAGATTGTTTAGAAATGGCGGGGTTATGAAGATTCTATTGTCATTAGAACAATAGAGGATACTTAGTAACTCTGAGTTTTTATAAAGAAGGGTAGTTTAAGAAATATTAGATTTTCTGCATATAATATATTATTATATTTAAAAGGTTTAGAAATAGCTTCAAAAATGTTTTTTTTTAAATAAAGGCCTTATTTATATTATTATTATAGTTTGTTTTGTTTATCTTTTCTTTGAAAAGAATGGATTGGAGTAAATAGTGCGGCTCATGATGTTTATCTCAAATTTATTACAAAAATAATGGTATATCTATTATACGAAAATGACCATGCGATTTCTAAATTTTAAGATTAATTAAAGAGAATCCAACTTTAAGATCTGATAAACTGAACCATTACCAATTATTTCAAACTTGAGCCACAATTACTCTATAAATTGGGTACTATTGTTTAAAAATAAATTCAATTCCACGTGATGCAATTATGGAATATAATTCTCGCACGTGTGTATTATATTATTCTTTTTGTTTAATGGCCACTGATCCAGGTTTGCTTTTCCCTATTTGCCTCACCACTTAATACTTTTATTTTATGCTGTAAATTAATGTCGCATAAAGTAGGGGAAATGTGCCATGAATGGCCATGTTTTTGCTTTTTTAAAAGGCATTAATTTATGTTTAACCAAACAACTTTTATAATGTGTAGCCCTAAATATTAATCTTTAAAATAAAATTTGCAAAGCTCTATCTATAACACTTTATGAGCATGTGAAAGTTGTTTTTCTGGCCAATCAATACATAGTATGTATTGAATGGCCATGTACGATGTGTTAACTGGCCATAATATATTATTTAAGAATTTTATTATAAATATAAAATAATACAATAAGAAATACTTGTAAAAGATTTATGTTAATATTACTACATTTTTTAGTTATATAAAAAATTAATTATCCACTAATTTAATTAGTATTTAAATCTCTATTTATCACCATCTATTTAATGATAATATTATAGATTATCTTAATTATCTTTTTGCTAAAAATTCTTAAGCTTGTTCATCATTTGAAATTTCACCAAATGTTGTTTTGGACGAGCTTTTCATTTTAATATGAATATGTGAATGTGCGAATTGTGACCAATCAATACATGGCCAGACAATACTCACCTCTATTATTATTAAGTGCCTTTATATATCTATTAAATAAATAAAGCTTTTAAAGTCTAATTTTTTGTGTGAATAATGCTAAAATGCCTAAGGATAATATTTATATAAAATATTAGTAATCTAAATTAGTAAAATTTTTTACCTAACAAAAAAATGTGTGAAGTGATTTTTCCTAAATAGGTACTAAAAACAGTTTAAATAAAATATTTTTTATTGAATTGATCTATTCAATAAATGAATTTAGGTAAGGTACATATCATAAATATACACATTTTGACCCATTTTGAGTGAAATTAATCCTATAGATAAAAAGCTAGAGGGTGGTGGCCAGTCTTTACACATGGCCATTTATGGCTCATTTATCCTAACTATTAGCGATAACGCATTTACTCTTTTAAAATAAAGTTTACACCTTCTACTATTACACGTCAATCTTTCTTATATATTTTTTAATTTTTAGACGAGGACGACAATAGATCATTCAATTCTTTGGCTTCTCAACGATTGAACTTGCCACTCGGTCATATAGTAATAAATTTTTTTACTAAAATGAATACCAACTTCGATTAAGTTTATATGGATGGGGTAGGATAATAATTAATAAAATTATAAAAAATATTTTTAAATTGAAATTTTTTTTACTCCGCTATTTTTTTAAAAAAAAATCGTAAATTATCATTGGCGTTAACCAGGGAGGGGGAAATATTCCCCATTAGCATATTTACTAATTTTCATAAATATCATAATAATTTTAAACATAGAGAAAGCCACTATTGTAGTATTCTCCGAAAATATTTTTATACTTTTTAAGAACTGAATATAGAGCAATATGCTAAATTTAACTACCAAATTTAAATTAAATTGTTCATCAAAAATAATATTAACCTGGAACAAGCGTTGTTAAAAGATGCTTTTTGAGGCATCCTCTTTAAATGCTTTTTAAAATCCTTCAATTTGTGCGCGGGAAGGTAGGGTAGTGGTATGCCTATGAATAACACCTTAATTTTATGATTATCTTTAGATATAGTAAAATCACTACAAGAATACAAAAATTTTATATACTTCTCTGGAAAAATATAATTCTTTCGTTCCTTTTTTTGCGATTAGTAACTAAAAGTTTATACTGATCGCAATCGCTCTGTCAATCCCATTTTTTTCAAAAAAATTCTGGTATTTAAGCCAGTCCAATCAAAACTCCTTCATCAGTATCACTAATATTAATTATCTTAAAAGATCATTATTAATACCTTATTTTTGTCATCCATTGTGTAAAGTAAAACTTGTCTTGAATTGAAAAGAAATAAACTCCGAAATAGGATTAAATTTAAAAATCTTAATATAATAAAAATAATTTAAATGTAACTATAAATAGATATAATTACAGTGAAAAATGAATCTAGATACATATATTTTTTATACAAATATATCTATATAAGATACAATATTTTTGTATCTAAGCACTTTAAGAACTCTCAGCATGAAACATTACAATAATATAATATTTATGACAAACGATTTAAAAGGCCGCTTTAATAAATCCGATGACTTAATCTTTCTGATAAGCTTAAAAGAATATTGAACAGTATAATCGTATTATTAACAAAATTTGTTTGTGTATTTTCTGTTATATTATCGGTTTCATCCATTTCTGTTTCCTACTTTTTAAGATCAGTATTTAAGATTGGATTTTATGTTTAAATTTCAACGAATAGAAGAAATGAATATGAAATCATTAAATTAATGTATTTATTAAAATTTATTATGAAATTATAAAATTAATGTATTTATAGTAAACATTCGCTACTAGCTATTCTTGCAAAATAAAGTAAATTTATTTTTCTTCGAGAAAAATCATCAAGCTAAATAATTATAAAAAAGGCTCATTTTAATAACTAAGCTACAGAGCTCTAATTGATTTAGTCGTTAATTTCATAAGACCCATTTTTTTCTCTTTAAATTTTTTAAAATTCGTAAAATTCCCATTTTAGCATGAAAACACAGCAACCGAATCTGACTCTTCTTGTTTTGGCTCCCGATCTCATAGCCCGCTCTCTTTCGCTTCATCCTCTGCTTGGGAAGATACGAACAGCGAAATTTACGCCTCCCATAGATCAAGCGGTAAAATGAGGGTCGGATTTTGGTGTAGGGAAAAGATTTCGCGCATTAACGGGTTACAAATATCTTTTCTCTTTTAAAATATTTAATATATTATTTGCAATGAAATCTTGATCTCAACTTTACCTTTAAACCATTTTATAAAAAAAAATCCCCGTCATTAGAAAAGCCATAATTAATGGCGACATAAAACTAATCTTTCCGTCCAAACTCAAATTTGCCTTATCGGAAACGCCCATGCCGCCTCTGTGCCTAAACGTCAAATTTGTCGAAGGCTTTGATATTACTAAACAAAACGATTCTATTATCAAGTTTGTATTTTATATTAAGAAACTTTGTTAAGGCGTATTAAACAGGAAAGTCGCACAATTATATGAATTCTAAGCTTGAGATAATTAATTGCCTTTGGGATATGGAATCAATAAGGATTCAAGAACCTCTCAATTTTAAATTATTTTCTGAGGACTCTATTTTTAAATTTGAATAATTTGATTTGATCGGAAATCTATTTTAGCATGAATACCTATATAAATTTCAAACAATTTTGCCATGAAACCTTGAACTACTTTTAATTTATACTAATTTTCATATAGTATATTTTTAAATTCGAAAAATACACAAAGGTTTAGGCGAAAATTGTATAAAATTCATATTGTGGTTAGAGCCCTACAGTGTAAATTTTTTGCAGTCTGACCCGAGCCTGAATTTTAAAAATTTGGAAATTTTTACCCTGCATTTTAGATATAAATAGGAATTTCTCCATACTTCCGATTCCTTGTTCTCAAATTCTTAAGTTCTAATCTTTCAGAAATTATCTTTAAATTTGGTTCAATTTTATAAATATAAAAATGAGAAGGCTATTTAATTAGATAGATCTTAGATAAAACAAAAATTAACAAATGAAAATATTTTATAACAGATTTCTATTTTATGTTGGCCAAATATAGAAATTTTATTTTATGTGGTAGAATTTTAACCCCACCCGAACCCGAGAATAAAGTTTCTAATGTCTCGGGCTTCTGGTAGGTGTAGAACTCAGAAATTAAGGGTACTTTAAGTTCTCGAATTCATTAAAATAGTGAGATTTTAAACCCCATGGATTCCATATCCCAATACAAGATATCACTCACCTATTAAGTTTACGATTAAAGACTTATTTTTATTTTGTCTTTTTATATATCGTCGCTCATATGGAGTGATTTACAGATTACACGGCTCAAAAAACGTCGCATTTTGAAATCTTTATAACTCTAAAATGCGTTGTTAGTTTTTTTTAAGATGAAAATGTATTAAAACTTTATGTCCTCAAAATATTCTAGAAGTTCGAGGGGTTTTTATAAAAAAAAATCGGAATGCACCAAGTTTGGTTCGTGAATTTCCTAGGAAAAGATGAAATATTCGTCGAAATATTTGATTCATATTTCGAAGACCCTTCTAAATCCACTAGATTATCAAGTGTTGAATTTAAAAACTATTGTAAAAATAGGCCACTACTTTTTGGATCTTTAGGCCATAAAAGAAAATTGATGATGTGTGGCCTTTATTTGTAAGAAAGAGTCAAATTGTTGGTGGGAGGAGAGATTGTTAGGTGTTGTTAAATCTGTTCGCTAATGAAAAATTTACGCGGCTACTTTTTACCTTAAAACTTCGGTTATTATCTTAGAAAAAAAATCTTTTTGATTTTTTTTAAAATGTAATTTTTGGGGGAAACTTTTGACCAAATATATTAGAAATTTAACAATTTTATTACATTATGATTAAACGCTACATTTTTTGGAACCACCCGGTAAATTTTTTTATTGCTAAAAATTGACTTTAAAGTTTCAAAAATGTGTGAACTCATCCAGATAAAAGCAAAATTATAAATATGTCAACACCTTAAATTTTTTTATCCAAATTTGATATAAATACATATCATAGATAATGATAATATATCGATAAAGTATTACATCATACCTGTAAAATACTATTTTAAACTTTATCAGCATTATTTTAAATATGTAAAGATAAGTATAAAATGATACTATTTTTTAGGCTTCTTTAAGTTTGAAATACTACTTTAATGAGGTAAAATGCTCAAAAAAATTATGTAGAATTTATAAATCACGATCTTTTTTTTACTACAAGAATCAATATATACCACTATTACTCACTATAAGATAGGTATATATATCTTTGGTCTGGTTTAATCCACTTATGGGCCACCTTGAGGCTTGGGTGGCAGAGCCTATATCTCGCTAAAACTTTATAAACCTAGCCCGCCTCACTTAAATATTATTATTTGCTAAAAAGTTCTTCATCAAACCCCGAGGCCAACAATCTTTTGCTGAATTTCGATACTTGTGCTTTGGAGGATAGCATCAAAAGTTTTAAACCTCAGCTCATCAAACATGCATCTTGGGATAATAGGAATGGGTTGACTAGTGGTAAATTTAATGTCCTGGACGTAATTAATTATCAGGTTTTTTTTCTTTCATGTTTTAGATAATTCGACCATCTAATCTATTGCATAGAGTGAATTAAATCAATATAATTTTAAGAACTATATAAATTTGTTCGATAAAATATTTTTTTAAGCCATTTTTTGCCATATACATTACAATGCACACACAATATAAATATTAATCCGGTTCATGAAGGTTTTTCGACGGCCATTAATATTTTTAGCCAATTGAAGCGAAAATTATAATTTTCTATTATTTAGGATTTAAAGCCGTTATTTGGCAAAAGTTACGGCCAGAAATTTGCTGGACTCACATCTTAATTATATTAATATTTAAGGGAATAATATTTATGGATAACACAATATTAATAAATGCACGTTTTTAAATCTTGTTTTTTTCTTGTAATATGAATGCTATACTTTTCAAGAATAAATAATCTTAAAAATAGACATTATATAATAATTTCATATATGTGTTTTGTTTAAAAATTCACCAACCAAATATAATAATCGAGTTGGTTAAGATTTAAAAAAAAATAAAAGTTGATCAATAAGTATAAAAATGTATGAATTACTCACTATCTTTTATGCGCCATAGAGGTTAGAAATATTTATAATGTTTTTCATGACTATTTTAAAAGCTTATATTTTTGAAAATTAATTTATGTTACTATTTTGCTCACCAAATGATATGAAAGCCTTATTTTACCAAATTAAAAATGGACATTAAATATATTATTCAAAAAGGAGGGTATTTATTTTCGTTTTACAAATAAATGAAAGTTGTTATGTTAGGTTCATTTTGGATCTTTTTTAATATTTATGATCTTTTTATCGAATGGTTTCTTAAACCTTAAAGAATATAATATGACATGAGAACAGAGTTGTGCAGTACCGCGAATACTTATATCTAAGATACAAGATTCTTTTGTATCTTTTACTCTATATTTTTTTGACATTTTTAATAAGATACTTATATCTATATCTAAGAGACTTATATCTATATCTAAGATACTTTATTTTCCAAACCATCTTTCATTTTTTTAAATGTTTTTCAAGATTAGTATTGTGTGAGCCATTTATTATTATTTGTCAGGTTTTGCACTCAAAATCCCCTTTAGTTACATATAATAATAAAATATCTTTTATTTTCATACTAAAAAATTAATAAGCAAAATTTATAATTAGCCAATAAGTTTGTTTAACAAATTTTTTATAAAAACTTACATTTGCAATATAAAATAACTATTTTGATTTGATGATTATAAAATATTTGATAACTTATAATAAAAAGATATATTTGCAAATCACTACCAATCCCCAAAAAATCGTAGCCTTGATAATGTCTTTATAAAATTGTTATAAAGCAATAAATAAAGTATTTCTATTATATAGCATGCACTACAAAATAATTCACTTATTATATATCATATTAATAAATTTACATAATAAAATATTATTACCTACACTAGAAAATAATTTATGATATTTCACTCTCCAAATAAAATTGAAGTCCAGCAAGATAAAGGAAAGAAAAATGCGAAAATAAAAGAAATAATTTCATGAAAAAAGTTAATTAAATTTTTAATATTATTTTAAAATAATTTTTTTGAAACCTACCCGTGGACCCTCCACTTTTAAATAGGGTTCGGATACAGCCTAAATACGAGGGTCTGGGTTCACATCCCTGAATAAATACCTTCCAAATATATTATTAAGGAAGCTCTAAATTTAATCCTAGTACACGATCAAACTATAATTAATACCAATGACGATTTTTTTTTAATGTTTCTGAATTTAATAATACAAATAATATTGTGATAGAGGGGTTGAATTATTTGAAATTACGTTAGAAACACTTAATAATTATCCTTCTCTTAAGAATTTTTTTGAATATAATACTGCAACCACCTTGATTAAATCCAGTTGAAAGGTTATTTAGTTTTGGCAGAATTGTTAAATGCTCCAAAACGCCAAAGGCTCTGATATTTGAAAATTGATTATTTAAAAAAATGATAATTTGATTTAATAAAATATTTATATATAAAAATTTTGAATTATAATCTTTTATCTAATTATTCACTTATAATATGTTCTTCACAAATAAATTATATGAAATGTTATTATAACTATTACAATTTAATGTGTAATAAAAATTATATTGTATTTAGCATATTTTAAATTTTTAAGATAACCCGGGCCGGGCCTGAAAATTTTTTTTTAAAATTTATACAACATGAATTATTATATTCGTCAATATAATGAATATATATAGTTATGATCAATATAATGTTTGGTGAAAGTTAACACTAGCTAACACTCATAGTATCCTATTATATAATATAATTATAGTTTTCCTGCCATGGAATAAATACGCAAATAATTAAATACATTATTATATAATATATATTATATTTTTTATTAATTAAAATATCAGTTTTATTTTTTTTATAAATACAATTAATATAGTATAATCTCAAAATATTATTTACACAAATTTTTTATAGTATCAATTTGTAATATACTAAATATCTGTTTAGAATAAAAATAAATAAAATAGTGTTGTTAAACGGCTCGTTTTGAGCCGATTTTTAAAAACGGCTATCTCAGTTTTTTATCCAGAAAAATATTATGCAAGCCTGAAAATTTTGCTCATAGAAGGGGCGAAGGTCTAGACATATAGCATCGAAATTTCGAGGCTTAGTCAATATTTTTCTGGCGAAAATATTGAGTTACCCGTTTTTAAAAATCGGCTCAAAACGAGCCGTTTAACAACATTAGCTAATATGCTTGCTCATTAAATGATAATACTCGCCAAAAAATATGATAAAATACCAAATAGATGAATTTTTCGTATGTACCAGGTCAATAAAAAATTCCGAGCGAGGCCTAAAAAAATTGGGCCTAAAATTTTTAAACCCAGGCCGGGCCTTAAAAAAATTTTGAAAAAAAATCCGGGCCAGGCCGGGCGGAAATTTTTTTAATCCGTGCCGTGCCAATGGTACATCTGCAGTTCTCTGATTTAAGATGTTCATTTAGCAAAAGATTATTATATTTTTTAATCATTTACTCTACTGTTATTTGCATCAAGAATCCATATCTTAAAATTTTTGTGGACCTGCCCAATCTGCTTGAAAAAATATTTTATTTGCAACATGAAAAATTTATCAAAAAAAAATTCAAAGTTACATATTAAAAAAGAAATGAAAACTATCATATCAAATATTTTATTCTTTAATAAGAAGCATTTTTAAAAAACATATTAAATTTTAAGTCCTTCTATAAAATCAAACAACATAATAAGTGTAACACAAATTAATAATTTTTAATCAAGATCTTCTTTCTTTTTTATATTCTTATTTTTACTTTTCTAAAAAAAAATAGAAATGTCAAATCTATGATTTACCCTCATGCAACTTAGCTCCCTTAACTCTTTCTTGCACCTGGAGACACAATTTAGCTTCCAGAACTATCGAACTAAGGGTGCTTTACAGTTTAAACAAGGATTTCTTTTGTGCCGTGGACCACAATTCTGCTTCAAATAATACTAATAATTCTGATAAGTTTTACGGCAATGGCAATAACTCTAATGGGCAAATAGTTTTGAGGGATGTGGAGATTGGGGCTTATTTGTCAGTCAGCGGGGATGCCTTCAGGATTCAATCCAAACCTCATAGCCTTTGGTAAAGAAGCAAATTTCTTAAGTCTGTTTTATTTTTTACTGGGTTTCTGTCAACATTTTTTAGTTTGATTCATGTTTTAAATCCTGATATGGTTTAACAGGCCGAACTGAAACATAGGTTCTAAGATCCTACCAGAACTTATATTTTTCTGATTTAAATTGAATCCAAGTGTTTACCAAACATCTTACCCTTCATAATTTACTTAACATTAAAGGATAAGACCAGATCTGGTACAAATTATATTTTCGAATAATTTAATTAACAACCATATAAAAACTTGATTTAAAACTTTCAAATTTTCCGATTATCTCACAAGGGATCCGAAATCCAAAAAACTTTACTGGAAGCTCAAAGACTTGGCTCTCAACCTGGCGAATAACGGGACCGAAGAAAATGTTGGCTCCTTACGTGCTAAATATGAATATCATTTGTCGGACCAAAATGAGAGAGGAAAAAATGAATCGGTTAATATCGATATTAGGGACCTGAAGAAACAGATAGTCTACGCTAAATTTCATTGCAAAGGCTACCTTTTAAGTGGAGTAGAATTGGCGCCTGTTGGGATAAATGATTCGCTTTTCAAATTCTCTGTAAAACGCAGTTTTTCGTCCGGTAAAAAAAACACAAAAATAATAAGGGCCATTTATAATATAAAGTTTCCAATATAAAGCCGTTGTTTTGGACCAGTTACTCAATTCCATAGAGCTCTCAGATTATAGACTTTAAATTCGACAGATTTGTTTTGTTAAAAATAAGATAAATGATTTTTACAAAAAAATGGATAATCGATTGTTTAATATAGTTTGATTATTTATTATAATTTAAATTTTTACCAATTTTAATTCTATTATTAAAATTATGGCCTAAAAATGGGTGGGGAATAACACCTGATTTATCTGAATGTCTAATAAAATATTTTTATCTATCAACATGTTATCATTTACATCTACATTTTTTAATCTAAAAAATATATATTAGGAAAATATTTAGCAAATTGCAAATAAAGCATGTACCTTCTCAAACACTTTACCCAACTATCCCAGCTTTTGACGTTTTGAGATTATAGATATTGTCCTGCAACAATAGAAAATACACTACTTATAAAAATTTTATAAATTTGTGATATTTTGTTACAGGTTACAAAAATGTTTATTCTATATTTTTAAAAAAAAATACTAACATTTTATTTATATTGGTTACTTTTTATTATTTTCAGCATTAAATCAACAAACATTGCAAATATATAATATATTATCACTGCCAAACACATAAATTTTGCATATCTAATCCTCATATAAGTTTTACAAGATTTTGTCAGTTAGCAATGTTTCAATTAAAGATCTGCAAGGTTCGTAAAAAGAAAATTTGTGGCCCGATACAGTTCACTAATTTTAATCATATCTATCTTTAAAAGAATAACATCAGATATTTGCATTAATCAATGAGATATAATTTACAGGGGAACTGAATTATTTTAAAAAATTTAATTTTTTTTTGCCATAATTTTATTTCATTTATAACTGGCTTTTATTTATCGGCGGAAAAAAAACTGATCGATGAACTAGTAATTATTAATCAATCATGCATTACATATTGTTCATTGCTTCTATAATCTTCCTTCTAGCTTGATGCCAATGGTCATTTTTTTTATTTTGCCAAAAATATTTTTCTTTATTAAGCTATCTACCAAACATGTTGAAGCAGTAAAGTATGAAATGCACATTAATTATTGTTATAAATTTCCTAGATAATGCTTCTAGATATTTGGCTAACTTTATGTTTAAGACATGAATTATAGTTAGTTTTTGGTCCATAATTCGGGTACGGCTGGGGAAATTGATTTAATAAGGCACTAAATATTAAAGCAAACCAGATAGTTCGAACTTTTATATTATACGTTCTGGCATGATGCTAAACTATTTTTTATTTTTTTATCAGTAATTTTTTTCCTCTTTAAACCAACTACCAAACAGAATAAAATATACTAATAAAGTCCTATGGGTTAGGATAAGTTTCAGTATTAAGTATGTCATGCTTTCATTTTGTTTATGACTCACTTTCTATTTGTAGTTCTCATATTTGAATAAGGAATTGAAAGAAGTAATCTGCAAGGCCTGGCCCGATCCACCTTGAGGGTCTGAATTTACTTTGGTCTTAAGTGAGCCTAAGCTTTATGAAGGGGAAATGGCATGTAAAATACTCATTCTTGATTAAGTAGATTTATACTTAGTGCGTGTGTATGATTCTCATATTTATTGTACTTTACAAAATGATTTGATTTCTAGTAGAGGCGTACCGATATTACTTTTTGGAGGCCGATCCGATATTCCCAACATTAAATTTCTATCGGCCGGTTACCGATCCGATATCATATCTAATTTTGTATTCTATAAAACTACTGGTTTTAATTTTTAATATACTTTTTATTAGTATAACATCTATAATTTAACTATACCATAACTTATGTCATTTAAATATATTGTAATGATCTGTTATAGTTTATATTCAACTCAATTGCAATTCTAAAGTATATAAAATATTTTTATTGTTAAATCACTTTTATTAAGTAATAACATTAATCTCTATACATAATAAGTAATAAACAAATATATTATGAAATTTGAAATAAATATTTAAAATAATATTTAACATTAATATATCGAAGATTTCTTCTTAAAAATACCAAAATTTCCATTTTATCAGAGGTTAGCCTGCTGCAATGGTAACTGCCAATATCACCAGCTTCACTAAAAACTTTCTGAAGAGATTATCGCACATTTTTATATATAGAATGCGTAAAAAAAATAATAATATGGCAGAATGTGTATTAATTAATTATTATTAAAAAAATAAACATAAAATTGATTTCGATTTTATTTATAAAAATAAATGATTTTATTTAAAAAAATTTATAACATTTTATTTTTATTAAAAACGCCATTTTATATAGGATCGGATCGGAAAATTTTATAATATTGGCCGATAACCGATATTTTAAAATGGGTGAAATATCGGCCTGATCCGATAAAAAATATTGATCCCTAATTTCTAGCAAAAAAAATTTTTAATACTCGTCCCACTTCTACACTTATCCAGCTTATAAGGCCCTATTATTTATTTATTGTCTTTAATTTGATTTTTTTTATAGAATTTCTATTTTATTTTTAATCTGGTTACTGATAAAAATAATAATGACTGAATTTTAATAAAATATCAATGCAAAAATTTAGAAACAAGACTATGAGTAGTATATTTATCTCAGTTAAACATTAATAAAAAATCTTCCAACCATAAATTCTAATTTTTCAGGTCATATAGCTATAGTCCTATAATTTGTATATTGTATGGTTAAACATATATCTTGTGTAAGTAGTGTTGTTAAACGGCTCAATTTGAGCCGATTTTTAAAAACGGCTAAAGCCTGAAGATTTTGTATGTAGAAGGAACAGAGGTTTGGGCATCTAGTAGCCAAATCTCGAAGCTTAGGCAATATTTTTTCTGGCTAAAATATTGAGTTAGTCGTTTTTAAAAATCGGCTCAAAACGAGTTATTTAACAATACTATGTGTAAGCCTAAACAATCATAAAATTAAATGCCATAATTATTCATTTTGTTGATACTAGTTATAAGAAAACTTGAATTCTTTTTTTAAAAAATGTTGTATATGAAATATGATACATTTATTACAAGAATCAATAAATTACAATAATTATTTATGGGGAAATAATATATTTACAATATATTCGTTTTGATTTTTACTAAATATAATAGAATCTTTTGATAAAAGAAGCTAAAATAGACGCTGCAATGGTAACATTTAAACTATCAGTTTCTCTTTCCATAGGAATATAGGTAGAAATAATTTTGGCCCAAGGGGATTTAAAAAATATAGAAGATGTATTAATATATTCAAAACCCCATGATTCATTACCTAGTAATAAGGCGATTTCTGTTGAAGGATGAATGTGATTTTTGTTTAATTTATTATAATCAATATTTGGAGTGATTATTTTTAAATTATTAGCAATTTTGGAGTTAGGATCCTTAAAGAATTATGTCCTGCCATAAAAAAAATGAATATATTTAAACTTACAATATTTTGAGCAATTATCAACGTAGTTGTTTGTGGATTAATATAATTTTTACCAATACATGCATTGAGACTATTAATTTCTAATACAGGTATTCTGAAATGGCCTCCTGCAGCTGACCTAATAACTTTTGGTGACCATGGATTGACACAACCTGATATGGTGAATGAATGAAAAAATATTACCTTAAAATTTTAAATTGAATAATGCACCTGGACACCCAGTTGGCAAATAACATTAGCTAAAATTAAAAAAACCACCATTTTATTTTATTAGTCAAAAAAAAGAATTCAAGTTTGGTTTAATAGTTTTATCTGAATCAGGGGATTTCATAATAGTATTTCTTTTAACAATTATTTAGTTATTATCTTTTTGATAAACTATATTGACTAGTTTGTTTTAAAAAGCAATATGCTGATATCTTCAAATTTTTATTTAAGCTTGATAATTTTATGATTTTTCTTTATTTAATTCTATTTAGGCTGTGTTCAAAACCATTTTAAAAAATTTGATAAACTTTTACAAATTCTAAAATTTTAATGAATTGGTATGTTAAATTTTTGAAATTTTCTAGAATTATGTTTTAGACATGTTTATATTTAAAATATCTTATTTATTTTCATATAAATTTAGAAAGTCTGCATTTTTTGATATTAGACACAGCCTTATTAAATATGATATTCAAATGAATAGTAAATTTTTCTTTTCTTTTAAATTCATTTTATAATTGTGATATATCCAAAAAGGGAAGGAAATATCCCAGCTATAGATCAGGGGAAAGTTATCCTTGAATATGCAAATACTTAATTATACATTGTTAATTATAATAAATTAAAATATAAATAAACAAAAGGATAAAGTTTAAAATTAATCAAAGAATACCACTAATTATTATCATTTGCTTGGCCCCAATTGCAGCCATTGTTCTAATTAAGGTTCCCATATTGCCAGGATCCCTTACATTATTACAGATTATATTGATTGGAAATGAATTGGTATATTTACCAATTATTTTATCATACTCTGGCTTATAGAATATGCCTAATTAAACTATATATATTCAAATACATATATTTAATAAATGTTCACCACCAATTCCTGGAGGTGTTAGAACTTGTGTTAATTTTTTCATTGTGATTGATTTTATTTCAAAACAATCAATTTCGTTACTAGACTCTACATTGTTTAAAATGTTTTTGATATCGTATAAAGGAGTGTGAAATATAAATTTGGGCAAAAACCCGATTTTTATAATATCATTTATAAGTGTTTCGCCTTCAACAAAAATATAATTGGTAAATTGTGATGGATCTAACATTTTTTTAAAAAAATTCCTTTAAGAAACTTGATTAAGCCTTTAAATTAAAGTGATAATAACTTGACATACAAATCGTATCCTCTTTTCTGTATTAATTTAGGCATTAACCACCTGTCCTCACTAGCAATACTTTTTTCAAAAATAAGACATAGGCTATCAGAAGTCTCGACTTTTACTGATTGATTGGTCACGTGACATAAACTGATATTAATCATTTATTGTATTTCCTATTTAAATTTATTATTTGATAGAAGATTTTAATTTTTGAAATTTCAAACATTAATAATCTTATTGATCTTAAAAAAATCCTTGAGTGAAATTCTTAGTCATATCAACCAAGATATGTTATTAGATTTTTGTAGTGTAATTTTACCTAGCAAGAAAGGTTAAATTCTATTGGCGGCTTTTCTAATAAGTTGTTTCTATTTTATTTTATTATTCCCTAAGTTAATATCTTGGCGTGACCAAAATTGGATATTTGTTTCCTATTCTATCTAACTTTATTTTCAAGGTATGTTGTCATTATTATTTCACCATAAATTAACTTTTATTATTACTTTCTATCGTTCAAATAATTTACATTAACTATTTTTGCTTCATAGCTATTTAACTAACGTGTTTATTTATATATGTAGGCCTATTCAAAAATAATTCGAATCTAATCGAATAATTACGAATACGAATAATAAATTATTTGTTTTATCTGAATACGAATAATCATTTATTCGATTCGAATAAAACGAATTATTCTTAATATTTAATAAATTGTTTAATAAATATAACATTTGTCATTTCTATTTGTTGACCTGCCAATCTGACAGTTGATGTGTTTGTGTTTATAAAAATTCTGGCACAAATTTAAAAATTTCTGAAGTGAAAATTTAAATTTTTATTTGCCACATTTTTGGAATCTCACGAAAAGTTTATTTTTTGAATCTCATAATAATATATTAAAAATTACACAAACCAGAGGTATATATAAATATATTACATTTCTACAATAATTATTGTTAGCTAGCCTAATTATGTTAGAGGAGAATGCTTCTGATAAAATTATACTTGATGAATTTCCTAACAAAAGAGAGCAATCATATGGGATCAATATCAAATCCTTAAAGACGGTGAAAAGGTGCTTGATTATTGCAAGAATATTATAAAATGTAAAGGCAAAACAACATCTCCTCTAAACATTATAATAGGTTCCATTCACACCTTAGTAAAAAAAATAATAAAATTGATATTTTTTTAAAGTCTACACCAAATTCTTCAAAAAAAAAAATTATTTATAAATAATAATATACTTTTTAAAATTATTAATTCAAGTATTTAAAAAATTTTATAAGTGATCTTGATTGTTCTGTAAAATCAATATGCTCCAATACTCTTAAATTGCACATGTATAATGCATTTGCAGAAAAAGAACTGTTGGTAAAGGAAGTAATATCTAAAAATAAAAGTCAGATTAATTTTTCATCTGTAATTAGGACTAGCGCAACACAGGTTGCTTTTTTAGGGCTAACAGCCCATTTTTGATGATAATTTTAAAATAAATAACATAATTTTGGATGTCAGTCCAATAAAGGAAACACATTCAGGTGAAAATATATTTAAAGCCTTTGTTAAAATAATTAAAAATTATAATTTAGAGAATAAAAATTTTTATATAACTTTAATTAAACATTTATTGATACATTTTCTTTAAAATATCCATTAATAAAAATAGGGCACATCTGATGCTTTGCCCAAGTAATTAATTTAATATCCAAAGAAATTTTAAAAATTTTAGATCCTTCAATTCTAAAACTAAGAAACATTATTAGAATGATTCGTAATTCCCCTAAAAAATTAAATTTATTAAAAAATATATGTAGTTCCCTACACCCTCCCCTAAATTTTTTAAAACCAAAATTGGATTGTGAAATAAGGTGGAATAGCACCTACCAAATGATTGAAAGGGGCTTATTGTTAAAGCCTGCTATAATAAAATTAGTTAATGAAGTAATAACTAATATTAAAATTCTTTAAGAAAAACAAATATTAGAGGTAAGCTAAAATTTATAATTAGGTAATAATATAATACTTTGAAAACATATAGGAAGAATGGGAGGATCTTATAAAAATTAAAGCTATCCTATTGCCTTTATATGAAACTACAAATATGGTATGTGGGGAGAATTATCCTACTTACAATTTGGTTATACCTTATTATATTTTAATTCTTGAACATCTAAAAAATGAAAAACCTGGTTTCCATAAATCCTTTAACAATAATTTTAAAGTAGCATGTGATAAATGGGCTATTATAATTTAACTGCCGATAATACAATAATAACCAAAATATTAGATCCCAGGCTTAATAGAATATTTTAAATCAATATCTCTTGATTATGATATTGATATATCCAAGTTAATGGACAAATTTAAAGAGATTTACAATAGATATACAGGTATTTAATTTACCCCCATTTAAATATGATTTGATTTTATAAGCTCATTCATAATTATAACTGTCAAACAAATAAGGATAAAATTCAACAAAACATGCTAGACATTGTTTTTAAACAAAATAATATTAAACTGTGTGAGATAGATTTTTATCAGTGAACCAAGAATAAAGAGTGATACTGACCCGTTAATGTGGTGCATAGGCGTAGCCAGGGGGGACAAGGGGAAATCCCCCCCTTCAGAAATTTATCACTTTTTGTAAATATCATTTTTAGCTAATAAAAAATATCCCCCTTAGTCCTCCCTCCACTCCCTGACCCACAAATATGTATGCATATATCTTAAATAATAATTTGAAAGAAAGAATGTAAAAGTTGATATTTTTTTATAAAACTATTCATCATAATTTATAGATTTTTGGGAAAATAAATATATAAAATGAACCAAAAATGTTTTTTAATAAATAGAATATAAGCCAAAGATAAGTCTTAAGACAGAAGTGAAATGTATTATAATTATTGATATTAGATCCATAAAATTACTAAATAATATAATATATCAAATATAATTTTTTATAAGGCTGCATCCAAATTCATTTGAAAAAATACTTAAAATTTTCACAAATTAATAACAAAACACTTTGGACACATTTAAGTTTTAAAAAAAATTAAAATATTCAAAATGCTTGATATGAATCAATTATTAGTTATTTATTATATAATATTTGAAGAAACGACTCAACATAGAAATAGGCATAGATATTTGGAATTAAGGTATATATTATAATTAGGGATGTAAATTTCCCGGGAAACTATATTTCGGGGAAATTTCCCGGGAAATTTGGGGAAAAAAACGGGAAACTATCTTTTTTATAATACTTTACAGGTCAATATTGATTTTTTTTTATGTTTTATTGAAAATATATAGATTATAAACATTATAATTAAACAAATATAAATTATTTTCAACTAATTTGCAATTACTTTACATGTTTTATTTGAAATATTATATATAGACTAAATAATATTTAAACAATTAATTTTGAATAGTTAATTATCTTCGTTTGAAGATGAAAATGATTCCAGATCAGAGTTTGAAATTCTGGAATCCAGCAATTTGTCATTTTCAGAAATTTCCTTTCCCATAAAATGTAGATTGGCTCTTATATAAACTAATTTTTTTATTCTATTTCTACATTTAGAATGAATATTTCCAAAGGAGGACCATATTCTTTCGGATGCTGTACTTGTTGGTGGTACAGATAAAATTCGTATGGCTAGGGTCGATATGTATTGATTGCAACATAGACCTATTCCATTTTATTTGAATCTAATATTTCTATTTTTCTAAATAATATATAGTGTTATTTATTATTTTACCTTTTAGAATCTCTGTTCTTTCAGATTCTATAACTTTTAATTTTTTCCTTTTAAATATAGGAGTTGGAATATTTTTAATGATAATTGGGTTTTCATTCTCTTTGTTTGTGGTATCTTGATCTAACTATTATTCAATAATAAATATAAAATAATAGTAAAATAATGTACAGCATCCAATTCAAATACTGGATTAGCAATTTGATTCAGATATGATTCTGCCTAAAAATAAATTACTTTTTAATACAAATATAAAATAATACTGTTCCCAGATGGCTATTTTCATATTCCTATTTAAAATCAATTTTATATTTTTGTCTTTTAATATTTTACATTTGTCTGTGTCAATATCAAGATTGACTCAGAAAATTTGGTAATATTTTCAACATTTTCCTTCAACCATGAATAATTTTCAATATATATGACATCTTTCCCTTTAAGAACTCCAGATCCAGAACCTAAAATATAATATAATTTAAAAATAAAATTTTTATTTTTACCTGATTTTTGCTGGGTGAGAAAATATAACTTATTAAATTTAGCCTTTACTGCTAAAAAATTTTTCTTCACTTGATCATAATTCAAGCTATAGGTTTTTCCTATTTCCTCCCATATTCGCTTGTTTTCTACAGAATCTCTAAATTTTAGGTCACTTTTACACCAGAGGCTTCTATGCTCTCTGATGTTCTCCATAAAATTATACTCAGACACTAAAAAATATATTAATATATAAAGAATTTGCCTAATTTCTATAGAATCTCTATTTAATCACATAAGGTGATGTCAAAATATTAGCTCAATAAAACTTAGTAAATATTTTCTATATAAATAGTCAATATCTTAATAAATCATACCCTATTATTCTTTTTACATTAATTTCTAAAGTTAATATTGGCTAAATTATGGTAAAAATAAATTGCAAAGGGTTTTTTCAATTGATCATAATTGAAGTTATATGTTTGATTTTATTTCAAAATTTTTTCATAGTCCTGGCCTTTCCTCCCAAATTTGCCTAATTTCTATAGAATCTCTATTTAATCACATAAGGTGATGTCAAAATATTAAATTATTGTTTCAAAATTTATAATAACACTTACTAATCTTAAATGTACACTTCTCCCAACCATGTTATCCCTGATATTTTTATTTATTAGATTTTCATAATCGTTTTGGTTAAATTTATAAAAATTAATATCATTAAAAATTTTACTTACTAATTTTCTTCTAAAAATTTCAAAATTTTGAATATATTTTTATTCAACTTTATTTTTTTTTATTATTTTTTTAAAAAAATAAATTTTTACAAATACCGAAAAATGAAATAGGACACTATTTTATTTTTACATTAAAAATAGCTTATGTTATTTTTTTCCTCAAAATTTATTTATTTATTTTATTTTTTTTAATGACTTTGGGCGCAGAGCCTAAAGTGAGTAATTTTAATTTATTTATCTTAATAAAAGTAAAATATAATTATAAAACTATTGATAAAATTAAATCATAAATTAAAAAAATATTAAAGCACAATACAAACAGTGGAATATTATATGTCGTAGATTTACAGTATATCTAATTATCAAATGACAATCAAGTAATTTTTACCAATATAGCGAATTATACATTTTACAGAAAACTATAAAATATTGATAAGGACATCAGAAAATATCTTAAGACATTGTGGGATGAATAATATAAAGATAAAATTTTAATATCATTTTTACTTAAAATAAATAGATGGCGTTAAATAATTGAATGCAAATTGTTGCTATATTTAATATCAAGAGCATTGATTAGTAAAATTTGTTAAATTATTAACTGTAATATATTCTCTAACTGCCAAATATGTCTGTAAAAGTGGAATTTTACCTTGTATTTTATAACTAATTCTATATAATAGAGTAAAATCAACTATATGTCTACTTACTTTTTATAAATAAATTTCTTATAATTGTTTGGAATAAATTATTACAATGCTCTTATATTAAGGTATATACAATACAAGTAATTTATTATCTCCCCCCCCCTTATGAAAATCCTGGCTACGCCTATGATGTGGTGGAAGGCAAATGCATATCGCATCCCCATACTCTCGAAAATGGCAAGGGATTATCTATCTATACAAGACATCAACTACTTGTGAAAGGCATTTCTCAGTTGAAAGTAATTTATTGTCAAAAAACCGCATGTCATATAAGGAAGAAAATATAAAAAAACTTTTTGCCTTAAAAATTGGCTTAAATTATAAATTAAATTAATAATATACATTTTAATTTTGTTTATAACTTGATTATATATTATTTATATTGATTACATATTATTATAATTTTTTCTGTTTAAAATCAAATTTGTCAATATATTTGAGTATAATTTATTTAATTAAAAAAATTAATTCGAATCGAATACAAATAGTATATTTTATTATTCGTACGAATTCAAATAAACGAATCGAATATGAATAATGCACTATTCGATTTGAATAGGCCTAATATTATAATCTAAAATGTTAATATGATAATTTTTTATATATAGGACAAATTTAGATATCAAAATTATTATTAAAAAATATGATTTATAATATATTTCATAATATTGAAATTAATAAATATTAATATATGTTTTAGAACTTATTAAAATGTATTGAAATAAAACTTTAATTTACCTTTTTAACCAACTAAACCCCGATACGAACACGTTCTGAAAATATAATTTTGAAAGTATATCTTAAAATTAAATATATTGATACAATAAAGAATCAAAATAAAACCTTAGAAAAAGGAATGTGCAGAATAAACAATATTTTATAAAAGATTAACATAATAATATTGCAGAAATCATGTCAGGGGCGTCGCTAGCCTTAAAAATTTCAGGGAACTCGGCTAAAAAATTTATGGGGGTCTTCGCTCCCTATATCCATCAAATTTGCTGGCCTTCAGCCCGCTTTCTCCCGGCCTATAGCAGGGTTTTATATTAATATAAAATACATTTTTAAGATTTTCTAACTTGGAACAGATATTCTGAATTTCATATTTTGTCATTTATTATATTATGTTTACAACATAAACTAGCTTATAAATAATTAAAACAATAAAAGACATTACTAAATATAATATTTTTTAACAAAATCTATTTATTACAGTATAAAATATTTTCTGATATAAAAAAATTTTGCGTCTAAAAAATTACAAGTGATAAAAAAGGTTAATTAATTCATACATATGCCTCAATTGATAATGGTTTTTAAAACCATATAAGGCAATATAATTCTTTGCAACTTACATTGACAAAAGGTCATGAAACTAATATAACTTTCTGTTACCATTTTACAAAATGTTTTATAAAATGGACCAATAAGGAAAATTTTATAGGCCTAACCAAATTAACAATTCCTGAAGAAGAGAATATAAACCACCAATCCAAATCATCTATATGGTGTTTAGAGCTTCCTCTTAGATGACATGATGGATAGATAAATAATCAAGAAAATTATTGTGAGATATTATATTTCTCAAAGATTATCTTCCATTTTTAATATAAATAAACGACTACACACTTGAGTGATCATTATTGTATATTTTTCTCAGTGGCTGTAGTAATAATCATAAATTACATTGCCACACAAATAATAGATGCTGGTTAATTTGTCATGGTTATGACACCAACATGTTAGATAAATTGATCAAACAAAAACACTAAAAAAATTATGCAAATAGATTGATGCCTTAAATTATTTACATGCAAAGATGCAATATTAGAAATGATTTTGAAACTATAAAATAAACCAAAGTTATATGATGAAAGCAATTAAAATTTATATTATTGTCGCACCACCTCTAGTTGGTATATTATATCTTAAAATAATAGTAGTTTGTAATAATATCAAAATATATTGGTATTAAAAATTTAACTCAAAACTGTTTTTCAAAGAAGAAAAAAATAGCTTTCCTAAAAACACGTAAAAAAGAGAAGAAAGGATATCTAATTTATTAAATCCATTGTGAAATAAATAATAAGATATTTAATTTTAATAATTATTTAATAAATAGATGGCGTTAAAGAATTGAATGCTAATTGTTTATATTTATTATCAAAAGCATTTATTAATAAAATTTATTAAAATATTAACTGTAATATAATATATAACTGTCAAATACGTCTAAGTGGTATTTTACCTAATATTTTATAATCAATTATACGTAATAGAGGATTATAAACTATATGTCTACTTACTTTTTATAAACTGCATTCAAAGTGGAGACGGACCCGATTTCACGTCAAAACATCTGATTTGACGGTGTCCGACAAGGCTTTCTTAGTGATTTTTTTTTTACGTTTCAACTTAAAATTGATTGGACATTATTTTATTTTTTAAAATGAACCAATATTCTTTAGTTAAATTATATATTATATATGATCTCTTATTCAAGAAAGAAAAAAATATAATTAATTCGAAAAGAAGAAAGGAGGGAGCATATTTTACTTTGGCCAAAATTACTTAAAAATGACGTAAAGTTTTATAATAACATGCGTATGAAAAAAGTGAGTATATTTTTATATATAGTATTTTCATAATTTCACTTTAAAATATAGGAAACGTTTTATTACATATTAGATCTTATTAAAATTAAAAATTAAAAAAGAAACGAATTTTATCAAGAATCTAATTACACCAGATGAAAAGTTGATGATTACCCTGAGGTAAATATTTTTAGTTTTTTTTATAACTTTATCTTATAAATATATATAAATTTATTAAAATTAGCTTATCGTATATATTAAAATAATTTTATAATTAATATTGAGATCTAACCCTTATAACTTATTAATTATTATTTTTATCAGACACATTATATCTTACTATTAATTTTTATAATTTTAATCTTGATATCGTTTGATCTAGATACCTAGCAACTGTTAATTCATATGTCACCATGTCATATTCTCATAAACTAGGGATATCAACTATAAAGCTTATAATAGGAGAAACAACAAAAGCTTTATGGGATATTATGCAACCCATCAATATGAAGGTCCCAACATTGGAGATGTTTGAGGAAGTTGCTAAGGGCTTTGATGAAATGTGGAACTTCCCAAACTGTATGGTAGATAATTATTTTTTTATTTTATTATTTCTTACTTTATTATTATTTTAATATTTAATTAGGTGCCATTGATAGGAAACACTAAAACAAAAAAGCCTCCACATTCTGCAACCCAATTTTTTAAATACAAGCATGGATTCTCAATGATCCTTCAAGCATGTTGATCATATTGGGAAATTTATGGTTATAGATGTTGGTAGCTATGGGAGCCAAAGTGATGGTGGTGTATTTTCCAACTCACTTTTATCAAAAAGAATTGAAAGTGGCGAACTCCCAATTCCACCTCTAAAGCTATTACCTAATTTCAATATAATGATCCCCATTGTAATTTTAGATGGGGCTTATCCTCTTAAAAGATATTTGACCATATAGATATAATGATAATAATAGTAAAATATTTAACTATCGCCTATCCCTTGCAAGGTGAATAGTAGAATGTAGTTTTGGGGTTTTAACCTCTAAATGGAGAATTTTATTAAAAGAGGTAGAGGTTAGTCCAGTGTCGTAGCTAGGGGGCACGCAGGGGCTCGAGACCCCTGGAAAATTTGAATAGCCCCCTTAAGCAAAATTTTTTTTTAATAGAATCTTAAACCCTTGAACTAAAAATAAATTTTTTTGATTACCCCCTGAAAGATTTCTTTTATAATTCTATTAAGTATAATATAGATTTAATTTTATTATTTAAAAATTAATAAGATTATCTAAATATTTATTAAATGAATACTATTTTAAATATTAGATTAAATTAATACATATAAATTATATTTTCACTATGTCAGCTAGCAATCAAATTTTGTGTTAAAAATAGAATATCAATATCACTCACTTATATATTAAACAGTTGAAGCTTAATTGACTATTATTATTTAAATTATTTTATAACCCTAATTAAATAAACATAATCATTTATTAATTGAAAATTAAAAAATTTAATATTGTAATCAGAGTTCAAAATGACTAATCAATCAGCTGTATATTTATTTTTAAATTTTATTATCATAGCTATTCCAAAAAATATTTTCAAGGTCCAAATAAGTATAATAAAAAGTAAGTAAGTAGACATATAGCAATCCTCTATTATATACAGTTGTTTATAAAATATTAAAAATGCCACTTTTATAGACGTATTTGACAGTTATAATATATTACAACTAATATTATAATGAATTTTACAAATAAATGCTTTTGTTTATAAATATAGTAACAATTTGCTTTCATATATTTAACACCATCTATTTAGTTATAAATATTTTTAAAAATTAAACATTTTATTATTCATCCTATAATAGATGTAATAAATTTGATATCATTTCTTTTTTACGTTAGGAAAGCTATTTTTTTATTTTTCAAAAAACAGTTTTGAGTTAAATTTTTAATACAAGTATATTTTTGATATTTTTACAAACTACTATTATTTTAAAATATAATATACCAACTAGAGGTGGTGCTACAATATATAAAATCTTAATTGTTTCATCATATCATTCTGGTCCTTATTTTATAGTTCCAAAATGTTTCATTTCTAATATGGCATCCTTGCCGTGTAAATAACTCAAGGCTTGTGTTTTTATTTTATCAATTTATCCAACATAATAAATTCTGATACTAGTTTACATCGTGAGTGTCATGGCTATTACTGCATATTAACCAGCATCTATTATTTGTGTTGCTATGTAATTTAAGATTATTATTACAACGGCGCATATGTTTGCATATATTAGATAAACAATAATGGTCAACTGTGTAGTCGTTTATATATTATATATCATTTAAAATGGATGATAATCTTTTAGAAATTTAATATTTCACAATAATTTTATCGATTACTTATCTAGCTACCATCATGTCATCTACAAGGAAGCTCTAAACACTTAATAGTTTTATGATTTGGATTGGTCGTTTATTCTCTCTTCCTCAAGAATTATTGATTTGTTTAGGCCTATAAATTTTTCCTTAATAGTCCATTCTATAAATGTGTAAAATGGTGATAGAGAGTTATATTAGTTTGATAATATTTTGTCAATGTAAGTTGCTAAGAATTATAATATTGCATTATGTTGTTTTTAAAAACTATTATCAAATGAGGCATATGTATGAATTAATAAATCTTTTTTATCACTTGTAATTCTTTAGACGCAAATTTTTTTTATATCAGCAATCAATAATATTTTATGCTGTAATAAATAGATTTTGTATTAAAAAAATTTATTTTTGGAAATGTCATATATTGTTTTAATTATATATGCCAGTTTATTTTATATGAATATAATAAATGAATAAATTAAAATTTAAAATAATTGTTCAGAGTCAGAGTTAACAAATATAAAAAATATATCATATATTAATAATGAGATTGTAAAGGCTAGCGACGCCCCTGGGTTAGTCTTCCTGTATTTGAAGACATAATCAAGGGATATTGTATTTTACACAATATCATTATAGAAAAGAAAAATTAAATATAACAAATATTCAATTGGGGGATACAAATCTTACTTTATGGAACCAACAAAGTATTAAAAATACTTCCGATCAAAATAAAAATATTAGAAATTTATTTTGTAATTATTTTAATAATATTTATTTATTCAATATTTTGTATTATAAAATTTGTATGATTAAATTCCTCTATACTTTATTGATATATATTTTATTTTAATAAAAAATATCATTAGTCATCCAAGAACTTATTCATAAAATCAATATTTGGTACCAATTAACCATGTTTTTGATTAAAAAATTCTTAAAAAAAGTTTATACATATAAATAAATATTGTCTGCTATTGTATTCAAATTAAATATTTGGTGAATAGGTAATAATAAGATTTATTAGAAATTGATACTCTGATTTTTTAATATATCATTTTTTTTAAAGTAGCTTGTATAAGAAAGAAAACCATCCTGAGTGTAAATATCATACCTACTCTGCCTGTACAAATATATAATTTGCCACCCATAATTAAATTATTTAACTAATATACATAAAATTCTTAGAAAACTAATTTTTGAAAATTAATTATTTTTTTTTTTTTATCTTACAAGACATAAAAAATATAGTAAACCATAAACCTTATAGTATGCTAATTTATGTTTATCAGACCTTGCCTGAAATGGTACTTAAAATGATATAATTATAAATCAGGCTAAAGATCATAAAGCAAATATAAAATTTATTCATTTAGCATTATAAAATTTATTCATTAATATAAAATTTATAATATGTTTAGCAATTATAATAAATTTATTTAAAAATAAAAATATAAAAAATAAATATATTATTTTTTTAATTCACTTTTATATAAAAAAAAAGCATTTGTATAATATTCCTTTTGACCTTATCCTTGTGGTCTTCAAATATGATATTTCATCATCTATGAACTTTGCAAAAGAGGATATCTTTTTTATCTTCCTCAATATTTAGTATTTTTTCAAATAATTTTTCTTTATATTTTTTTCTTTTTTTATTCGATTTTGGTACATTTTCATCTATGCATATATTTTCATTTGTGATAATATCATATAGTGGAGTGGAGTGGCATTAGATATAGTTAATTTGATTGTTGAATACGTGGTGTTAATGTTTTGTTTAATAATGATAATGTTTCATAATAAGGTCATGTTGATATATATGGTGGCCCAGCTAAACCACTTGGACTATCTATTGTTTTTTTGTATTCTTTATTCTGATAGTCTCTTAAATTATTCCATTTTGCCTTTAAATCGTCACCTAAAAAATATATAATAGGCTAAAAATCTACATAATTATTTAAAGTGTCAGTTTAATTAAAAAATTAAGTTTGCTTTATAATTTATTATTCATCACTATAAAAACTAACAATATATGTTTAAAAAATTCTATGTGTTATATTTATAAAGTTTTAATACCTATTGACCAAATTGCAATCCTAGATTTTTCCAAAATTCTGATTTTTTATTTACATCTTTGTAATTTTCATCTGTTTTGTCATATATAAATTTGGCTTCTCTAATAGCATCAATTAAATCTAATATATTGATTTTCATTTTTAAAAAATTATAAGTAAAGTTATAACGCACTATAAAATTTGCCGGATCAAAAAGTCAAAATGTTTTGACTTCAAAATTTGCCGGATCCGTTTTTAAGTCTGTAGGTATCGGAACTGACGCCCTTTGAACATATATATCATTTTTAATGAGAACTTTTGACGGAATAGATGTAAAAAACCGATCAGTCTCCACTTTGAATGCAGCCTTATACTATTATACTTGTTTTTTAGGTACATTTCATTATTTAATTAAGCTCTTTTTAGAGCCTTCGATACTATTATTATATATTTTTATTTAGTAATTTTATATATTTTTATATAGTTGTTTTAATATTTTAGTGTTTTATCATTTTTTTTAATTATACCAATATCAATATTATCAAATCAAATCATTAAAAAAAATTTTGGACCTTGAAAATATTTTAGGAAGAAGCATGGTAATTAAATTTAAAAATGAATAATATAGTTGATTAGTGATTTTGAACTCGGCTAATTAGAATATTAAACTTGTTAATTTTTAATTAATATATGAAGATATTAATTTAATTAAAGTTATAAATCTAAATTAATATTTAGTAGCGATATTGATATTCTATTTTTTAACACAGAATTTGATCGCAAGCTGACATAGTGAAAATATAATTTATATATATCAATCTAATCTAATAATTAAAATAGTATTCATTTAATAAAAATTTAGTTTCTAATTTATTTTTAAATAATAAAATTAAATATATATATTACTTAATAGAATTATAAAAGAAATCGTTCAGAGGTAATCAAAAAATTTTATTTTTAGTGCAAGGGGATATAAGGAGCCATTAAAGGAAAATTTTTTTGCTACAGGGGACTAATAAAATTTTTCAGGGGGCTCGAGCCCCTGCGCGCTCCTCCCTAGTGATGCCTTATTAAATCATGTTAGCCAAAAAATAGATTGTTCCATATCTCTGAATTGATTATTGTGGTAATTAGGGTTGACAGATAAGAATAACGAATCCACATATTTGTTTTGGAGATGAAGGAAAGTTCGAGAATGATTGCTGGGGATTGTAGAATAGGGTGAGGATGTTTATGATTTCTAATGCTGTGGATATTTCATGAAATTAAATTTGGGATAGAGATAAAATTTGAATCAGAATTTA